CCAGTTAGAATTCTAGCAAAAAATCTCAAGTGAGAAAGAGCTGGTCATTTTATATCAATAAAAATTTAAATCTCTGATTAAATATAACAATGATGGGTTTTTATGTGTCAGATGATATAGAAAGATACAATATGAATAAAATCCCATTGGGAAGGAGATGGGGAATTCACAGATATGATATTATCAGTCAATGACAGAATCAATATACTAAAAATGACATGGAATCTTTGAAAAATGTGATTAACAGCGTAGTCCTACTGGAGGGAAGGATAGGCTGATCAATGAAACAGAACAAAGAATTTGGAAATAGACCCCAGCAGATCTGAGATTTCAGTACATATTCAGGCTGGCATTTTAAAGACAGATGACTCAGTAAATGTCATTAAGACAACTATTTGGCCATTTGGAAAAATAAACTGAATCCCAATCTCATTCCTTATGCCAATTTAAATTCCAAAAGGAGCAAAGATGAAATGTAAAACTGAAACTATAAAAATACTAGACTAAAAGAACCAAAGGTATATTTTTTTAATTTTGAAATAAGGACTGCTTTTTGAAATGTGAATATATACAGACACATGATTGTATGCTTATGTATTATAAAATACATGCACATACATAGATATCTGTACTATGTGTGTTCATATGTCCATATATGTCATAAAAGGGGAAAGTGGCTAAAGCTGAATATATAAATTTTGACATGATAAATAAAGGTTGTAATCAAATTCTAAAGAAAAACTGTTAGGAAAAGTATTCTCAGCCTAAATGACAAAGAATTAATTTTCTTATTACAAAAATAAAGACTTCATAAATCAATAAGAAAAAAAAAATAACCCAAGAGGAAAATGGGCAAAGGACTCACAATTCACAAAAGAAGGAATACAGTCATTATAAACATAAAGAGATGACCTATCTCTTCGTTTCTTGAAGAGACGCAAATAAAACATGATTTCAGTGTCTTCTCCTTTTGAATATCAGATGTTTAATAAGTAGGATTTGAAAATACACAGAATTGGTATGAAGAGGGTATCCAAACATGCTCACACACCATTTGTGGGTGATTAAAGGGCATAACCTCCTCATTAGCAATTTTGACAAAATGTAATAAAAGGGTAAAATGTTTACGCTTTGATCCAAATATTATGCTTTAAGAATTTATCTTAAAGTAACACCTACCAAAAGTAGAGAGGTATGTATTCACGAAAATGTTCATTGCAGTACTGTGTTTGTTGGCAAAAATTTTTTTAAAAAGGGAACATCCAAAAATATGCCCATAACATGGAATATAATGCATCTTATAAGATTTCTGAAGAAATTGTAATGACAGTGTAAGCTGCTTATAAAAATGTAAACTAGATACCGAAAAAAAAAAAAAAGAAAAATGTAAACTAGAAAAGCAAGAATCAAAGTGTAAATTCATTTCAATGCCAGGATACATTTATATATTTCTGTATATTGTGTATGTATGTGCGTATATAAGTGTGTGTGTATAGTTACATAGTTTTTATATTCAGACATACACAAAGGCACACACTTATATACAGATAAATATATTTGTATACATATATATACATGCGTGCATATGTACATACACACGTACAAAAGAATGATGGCAGTTTACAGTATTAACAGTGGCAATCCCTTAGTTGTAAAATTATTCATAATTCTCAATATTTGTAAGTATTTTTAAGTGTTTCTATAAGAAAATTGACTTTCTTTTGTAACTACAAAAAAGAATAATCGTAGAAATAATTTACATTAGGAAAGCAAATGTTATTGGCCCTAAGGATAGCTTAGAAGATAATCAAATTCACACTAACCTAGGTTTAACTTTACTCTTAATCTGGGGTATTTTTAGACAAGCAGAATTTTGAATAACAGCAGCAATCAAGTTGCAAGCTTAACAAAAGGACATAATTTCTATTATCTTTAAGAGAAGCATCAAAGAAACAAAGTCTTTGTTCTTAAGAAGATTTCAGCATCTAATAACCTATACACAGCAAAACTATATTGTTGTTGCTATTGTTCAAAAACAGTCCATTTATGAAGTGAGTTTAAGTTTATCCTCCTCTAGAAATGTTTAATTCCAGACTGATGTTCCCAGACCGATTTTTATGCAAATTAATTAAAGCATTAGCTTGAGCCAAACTTAATTACCGGGCCTCCAAGAAACAATCATGTGATCTATTTCTAAAGAAAAGTGAACGGATTTTTGGATTATCTATTCTAATGGTCCCCTCCCATTAGTATGGATGATTGAGTTCACTGTATAAAAAATATACATATAAACTGTGGGATCCTTTATGCTCTTTTGTTTCTTCTGCCAGGCGGGATTAGGGCAAAGGACAGTGGGTGGAATTCAACCAGACTGAATGTAGAGAGGCAAACATAAAGCGTGCCCCCATGGGGTCAATAAAGCAGGATGGAATGTGGTATTTCTGAGAGGCTGAAGAGAAAGGCAGATGGGCTGAGTCATCATTAACACACAGCAGGCCTGGGTGCAGGGCCCCGGTGCTCACACATACCTCCTCCATACAATATGCCAAATCCTGGCGTGGTTCAGGCATGAGCAAGTATGAGCATTCTTGGATTTCAAAGCTGAGAACCTCATTGCTTTCCCTATTTTTCACTAACTTAATTTCAGCAAAATGAGAAAAAATATATGCTTTTTCGTTTCAAGAGAAGATTGCCAAAATGTGTAGAGCACACAGGTAAAAACAGATGAAGAGGGAAAAGGGCAGGGGAGAGGAATATTCCAAAAGAGCTTTGCAATGGCCTCTTATCCTCAAAGTGAAGTGCCAGACCTTACTGGTAGGCGAGAAAATCCCTAGTATTCATCAAAGCCTTAGGCTACCACCCCATGTGGTCCCCCCCAATCTGCGGTGCCCCAGGCCCTGGTGAATTGTGATCTTCCTATTCCTGATGGAATTCCTCTGAGAATGTATCGAATGGAGTACTGAGACTGGAGACACACTGCAGTAAAGTGGCTGCTTCTATTCTCCGAATGCCCTGGTCTTCCCCGTCACTGTACAAAGCCAGATCACAGATAATGACTGGGAGGCGGTGTGATGGTCAGTTCCCCATCAACAGTGATAGAGAATGAGGCTCACTCAAAACAGTGAAGGTTCCCTCCACGTCATCCTCCCAGTAAACAAATGTCAGGGATGACTAGAAACTTTGCCAGGAGACATATCCTTATATAATGCCAAAGATAGAGGGAATCTAAGATAGTATCTAGTTTCTTGGCCTTTTTTTCTAAAGATAATAAAATTGAAGCCCAAAGAGGTTGTGATTTGCCTAAAACATTCTTCCTCCAAGGTTCTTTGAGATAAATATAGTATATGAAGCGTCTAGTAGCCTTAGTGCTTTGTTGCCAAAGGTACAATAGGAAGCAAGTTACAGGCCCTAATTACTATTTAGAGACATTGATGAATACTATAACAGAGGGCCAATTAAATGGACATTTTGGGATCCCTCCTTATTAGCAGGTGCTAGGAAGAGAAATGAATAAAACGGTATTTATCTTCACAGTGCTCATACCCTGATAAGGGAAACAAACACAGATACAGCTATATTACAGTGTGATGAGGAGAATAATAAACAGGTGAATAGGCAAAGGGACTCAATATGCAAAGATGTGATCACTCTATATGGTACCCAGAGGTGAAAAGGATGGCAATGGGTTTTGGGGGGAAGATTTTGCATGGCTTTCTGCTCCATATAAAGACTTTTGTGACAAGTAGTATCACAACATAGTCTAAAGAATAAAGGGCACAAATGGAATTCTCATACATTTCTGGTGGCACTATAAAATGGAACAAACTCTTCAGAACACTGTTTTTTCAGGAACTAGTAAAGCTAAACATGTGTGTTGCCTGTTACTTAACAGTCTCACTCCTGTGTTTATACCCATGTTATGAGTGCATATGCCCATCAAAAGACATGTACAAGAATGTTTTTAGCAGTGTTATTCATTTAGCCCCAAACTGAAACATATTCCTACAATGGAAGAATATACGTCAGTGAGAAAGAATGGACAATTGATGCATGCGGTGACTAGGATTAATCTTACAGAAAACAAGTATAAAAAAGTAAGATACAAAAGAGCACACACTGTATATTCTGTTTATATGGGCTGGGTACATACGCTTGTCTCACAGGAGCCAGTGCAGGTCACATGGTCACAGGCAGGAAATGAGGATCCTTTTACAGAAGTAGAGACAACTTGGAACAATGATACGTCCGCCCCAGGGACAGACCCAGACAAAGAGCCCAGACATGTCTGTTTCACCTTCGCGCCTGTAACCTCTGGCTCTGGAATTTTTTTTTTTTTTTTTAATTCAACAGTTAAATATCCTTAGCATAAAATCTTTCATTAGAATGATGCAAAGTGGACAGATTTCAGTTTCTTCTCTTAGCACTTAAATGTTCTAGACACCACAGGGGAGAGGAGAGCTAGCTGAATTCTCTCCTGACTTTTGCTCTATTTAGTAAGCGTTTTATGAGAATCGTTGAGCTGTGAGGTGGCCCCCATCCCTGTGTGCTCACATTACTAAAGTTTTATTATGCTCTCTTGATAGAAGAATGAAAGTACAAGCAGTGTTTTAATTTTCTAGGAATCCTCAAGATGGCAAATATCTATATAGTAAAGGGAAATTGGATGTAACCGCTGCAACCCAGAAATTATTTAAAATTTCAAAACAGCCAGGTTGTATCCATTGAGGTTCAGTGTATTTATAAGCTAAATATTAATTATACTAGTCAGTTCAAAGAAGAGTTTTTTGCCTACATTATCTGGATATTTCTCATCAAATAATTGATATAATTTTGATGATTTGCAAAATGACATCTTCACCTTCCACTTTGGTCCAAAACTGTTGTCTACCTCTCCAGTAATGATCAAAGCATGGCTTCTGAAATGTTTTGCCTTTTTAAAACCAGGAATAAAGCTATGGTCATGCATATCACATTTATTTTTCACTCACTGTTCTTAACAGGACAAAAGAATGATTCAATGAAGAATGAAATAAAAATTGAGGCAGAGTCCCAGAGCTCATATATGGAAACAGAAGGTATTGAAACCAGAATATATTGTTATCTGAGAATGACGTGAAACTGTGGACCATGACTTCTATATATACTCGTGTGTATGAGTTGGGTGCGTGTATGCTTTCAGCAGTGATTACTAGACGATGGCGGTAGTGTTCTGCTTTGTATGCCTGTTGAAAGTTGGAGGGGAAAAAAGAACTTTGTGCTTTAGTCACTGTTTTCTCAATGATTCCAACTAAAACATCCCTGAGTATCCTTCTGTCTCATTCTATTTAGAGCTTTCATTGAACCAAGAAGATATCACGATCTTGGAGCAGCAAGAAGTGATTCCACTAACAGATGACCAAGAAGGAAAAGAAGGTGAAAAAGGTAGGACTGCTCTTAAATTAACCCATCAAGAATAGAGAGTTTCTTTGGATTCCTGCCAAGAATTCAACCATCAGCGTTATCCTCATGAAACTGCAGTCTGTCAAGGGGCAAAATGAACATTTCTTTAATTCTAAACCTACTTTTGAAAGTAGAATAAAATCCAGAAGTAGCAAAAGAAGATCCTTGTAACAGTTTTTCATCCTTTCAGAGAATATGAGGATGTTTTTATTATTCATTTAGATCCGATTTTTAAAAATCACAGTTTTGAGAAAGCCTCTAAGAAATAGAAATTATGGGCTAGACGGATAAAAGTCCTAGAAAATCTGAAATGGCTTTAAAACGAATAGATTAACCAATTTGTATTGATTTCATTCTGTCATCCTTCATACGGTAGTGACGAAGGAAGCAATTTGTGTAAAATAAGCGCATTATATGAAGCTTCTAAGTTATAAGTTTGTCCACTAATATTAGGGTACAGTTATACTGAATACTGTTTAAAAAAAATAAGTGAGCATTATAATGATTTCAGAGGACATAAGAAGAATGAACACTTGGTAAATTTTAAAGCAGCTTTGGGGCAAGAAGTCAGTATATTCAAGGTAAATGTTTTAAAAAGTCTTTAAAAAATTATCAAAGAAATTTATTATTTATTAAAGAACTTAAAGAATTTCATTTCCAATATAAAGCAATCTCTTAAAAGGAGCTAAAATGTGAAATAAAAAAGGAAATAATTTATCTCTTCTGCTGTATCATAAATCATACTGGTCTTAAATAAAAATGTGTTTGCAAAGTAGTTACAGAGCGATAACTTGACAGGCCTTGTTCACAGAACACAGTGATCAATTTTGTTTTCAAATGAAAACACAGACATGATCTCAATTGTAAAATCAGGTCAGTAGTAAGTACTGCTTCCAAATTATGAACTCTTCTTGGCAGCTGCGTTGACACAGTTTAATTACTAAGTCATGTTAGTGATTTTGACATCCTGTTTTAATTTCCACTGCATTTAGAGCACAATATTCTCCTATATCTATGCCTCTAATGACCTTTTCTCTAATTGCAAATCCTAGTTCAGCTTCATGACACCATGTTCCTGGCAAGTAAATGGTATATTTGGAGAATTTTATGTCTGACGATGATAACAGAAAATTGATACGACCCTTCCTTGAAATACAGATACATGGCCTTGCTCCTTTGTTACTGAACACCAGTTCATATTCCCCTCTCACAGTGAAGCCAAACAAACTGAAACATCAGAGTTTTGAGCAGAGAAAGGTTTATCAAGGGCCGTGAATGGGTGGCTCTTGTTCAAAACATTCCAAACTCCCTGAAGGGTTTCAGCAAAGCATTTTTAAAGGCCAGAGAGGGAGGGGCGTCCAAGGGTCCGGTGATCAGCTGCTGCACAATTCTCTGGTTGGTTGATGGTGAGGTAACAGGGTGGTGTCGCCGGAGGTCTGGGGGCTACAGCTCATGATGAGCAAGTAGTTAATTTCTTCCCTTTGGTGGTGGTTTTTAGCATCTGAAAAACTCAGGAAATATGCATGAGATAGTCTTATCCGGGTACTTCAGAGATGAGCTCCAGAGGAGGATATGGGGAGGGGTCTGTTCCAGGAAGTCCCCTTAGGGTCCTGCTTGGTTATACATTCAGTTGTACTTGTAAAATATAAAATAGAGAATATTGCATCTGCCTGCTTAATTTCTCTATAGCAGAAATTATTTACTTTGTACGTTGTGCCTCAGGACACGCAAATGAGGAACATCAAACAACTGGTACATTGTCCTCTTTTTAACTTGACCTACAAGGGAAAAAGCTCGTGTTCAGCACACGTTGACTTGTCTTCCTTCTCCCAGTGGCTTCTCCAGCATGTAGGACTCCTCTAGTTACTGAAGCGTTCAATTCTCCCTCGTAGGGATGCCAAAATCCTCTTCTGCAAATGGAGGAATGGCATGTGGGAAAGAAGTAAGATCAAATTCCACTACCTGTAGCAACTTTTTAAAAATTAATTAACTAATTAATTTGTTTTATTGGCTGCGTTGGGTCTTCATTGCTGCGCGCAGGCCCTCTCTAGCTGCAGCCAGCGAGGGCTACTCTTCACTGAGGTGCGCTGGCTTCTCATTGCGGTGGCTTCTCCCGCTACGGGGCACAGGCTCCAGGCGCGTGGGCTTCAGTAGTTGTGGCTCGCGGGCTCCAGAGCACAGGCCCAGCAGCTGAGGTACACGAGCTCAGTTGCTCCGTGGTATGTGGGCTCCTCCCGGACCGGGGCTTGAGCCCGTGTGCCCCGCACTAGCAGGAAGACTCCTAACCACTGCACCACCAGGGAAGCCTCTTGCTTGTAACAGCTTTGAAGTTGAATTTCTTTGTTTAAAATTTGACTTTTCACTGTCGGAGAGTAATAATGCTTCATGGGCTTGAATTAACTGGGTTTTCCCTTCTTTACCAGAGATAATTAACTTGGCCCTGCCTTGAATAGTTCTGTTTAAATTCAAAATAACTTAAAATTAACCACCTTTATCATCTTATTTGTTGCTTCAAAGTAAGAGTTAAAAGCTATTCTCTTACATATAAAGAAAATAACCAAAGAAAAGGGGAGCAATGTAGCTTTGGGGTGCACTGCAGCAGCCCTGCCCCCCTCTGACAAGCTGGGTGACCTGGGGCAGATTATTTAATCTTTCAATGCCTCAGTTTCCTCATCTGTAAGAGGGTGATGACAGATATGCTTGTGATGAAACTTTAATGAGTAAAGTGATGTAAAGCAATTCCAACAATACCTGACACATAGAAAGCACACCTTAAGTGTTTAGTACTTATCATAATTGGATAAATTGATGACAAAATCAAGAGAATCCACATGTGGAGTTCCCCAAGCCCATTCCCAACTATTTTGAAGCCATAAAAATTTCATATAGTCTACATTATCCTTCAGCAGCAAATTGTTCTGCCCATTTTGTTTTCAGTACCATCTCCTGCAGGCTGTTTCAACATGTATATTTAATACAGAAAGATAGAACAATTAATGAAAGGTGAGGTGGGAGACATTTCTGTATATTCAGAAAATTTTTTTTTTTTGGTTAAGATCTCAATCTTCTGTTTGAGAAATGCTGATGCAACCATAATTTTTATTTTTAAAAGAAGATGCCATTTATTTATTGGTAGATTCACAGAATAAAAGTAGTAAATAAATTCAAAGTCATTGAATGTTCTTTTCTTTTGTTTCCTATAGTTACTGAAGAGTTTTGTTTGCAAATATTTTGAGAACATAGCTCCAGGGTTTGTGTATATTCACAGTGTCTCTTAATGGAAAGTTGCATACACGCATTAAGAGCTACTCTTATCTGCAAAAAAAACAAAAAAACAAATGAGTACTCTGTTAAATTTGTAGGGATATTCTTTACAGCCTTAGAAATATTGGTTCTCTTTTGAGAATCTTTCTAAGGAGACAGAAAGTGGTTCCTTTCCAAAAGTTCCAGACCAGGAAAAATGTATAACCTTTCTGTCTCATTTCACAGCATTCTATATAAGATTAGAAAATGTAGATAATCTTTAGCATATGTCTTCAATAGCTCCCAGGTGTATGGGCACAGATGTTGTAACATTAAGTTTTGAAGTTAGCTCTACCAAAATATGGGTTTTGAAGAGAAGAGAAAATATTCAGCAGAAGTTCATGCTGATAAAATTACACAATAGCACAATGGACATTTCCCTAGGAGACGTGAAATACAAAAATTTCAACAGGCATAAAGTGCACATAGGGCAGCTTTTCTCGTACAGCCACATTGCCTCTTCCTAAATGAGTCCGGTTTTATGCTTTCCCAGCAGGATCTGCAGCACATAGGAAACCCAGTAAAATAACATCATTTAGGTTAATAACCAAATAGGAAAGTAATCTTATAGGTGATCTCCTCTAAAAAGATCTCATGTTTTAGCATAAAATATGACTTTAGCCAGCATTAAAATGTTTTTTCTGAAGATTTCTATTTCTAGTGGAATTCAGAAATAGTTCATATAAAATCTTAACTAGATCAACATTGTATCATTATTATATCACATAATTTTAACTTATGTTTCTTAGAAATATATTGGACTTCCCAAGTGTTATACGGAATGCATGCATTCCAATTATTTTTCTTGGATCCAGCAATAAGTATAATATGGAATAAAAATCTTTTATCTTGGGCTGATCAAAATGTTGATGGAGATTTAAAGTATATTATGGTATAAGGTCTTCTTGGAAAAAGATGGATATTGACAGGCATGCAAGTAGGAATTGAAGTGTAAATCGGCAACAAGTATAAATTATCACGTCCTTCGGCTCATGTTTTGGCCTCTGACGAGCAGGACCATGAGACTAAGTGTGCAGAGAACCATGGCTTCTTGCTCTGGCTATGTGGTTTCTGGCAATTCTTTACCTTTTATAAATCCCAGTTTCTGGGGTAGTAAAATGAGCGGCATGAACTCAATAATGCAGGGATGAGATTGTCCAATTTTATAAACTTTCTTGGAAGGCCAGCTCTGAAGAACCACATTCTTGATGAAACAAGGGGTGATGAGATGGGAGCCAGTGGTCATCAATACACTGAGGAAGCTGAAACTGTAGGTTTTACTCAGTTTTATTCATTGTATTCTATTGATAAAAATGCAGAGGGACTCTAGACCAGACAAAAAGATGAGCCAGACTAACTTCTTTTATTTCAGGACTTAACCAATAGTTGGACAGCTAATGATTCCCGGAAGATACTCTAAATGGGATAAACGTGCCCTTTAGCTCAAATTAGGTTGACCCACAAACTCTGCTCAGAACCAGGCTAGATTTACATCACCCATCTTTTTTAGTCCACATGAAAAACTTCTTTTCTTGTAGTTCCTCTGGTCGCTGTTTCATCTTTCAATGAACACAGAGTGAACCACTTTCTCTTCTGCTCCTACTAATCAAATCCCTTAGGGTTTTATTTTGTCTTCAAGACACCACTACACAACCCTTGGTGTTTTCCATTATTGATGG